ATTGATTTCCATCCCATGTCCGCTCGGAAGAACGGTCCGCCACTGGAAACCCAGCGAGCTAATACTCTCCGCGAGACACAGAGGGGTGGACTGTCGCTCGGCCGAGGGGTGAGCTCGGAATCTCCGCCCCTGGCGAAGATCCGCCCTCGGCTTCGAGGGTGCTTGACGAGCGAAACGGCGCGGAGGTAGGGAACACTAGCCGTCAAGTGCTCGTCGAGGACACTCAAAAAGTACAAGGAGAGCCCTTCAGCCTAGCTAGAGAGCAGCCAGGGTAGACTCGCGTTTGTGTTCCGTTCTTCGATTTCGTTCAGACCCTGTCAACCCAACTGGACCTGGACATCGAGTGAATCGCGACGAATTTCTCCGAGTTTCCCCAACTTTCCCGCTATTTCTCTTCGGGGAACCACACGGGGCTCCGATCTTAGCTGTTGGACCTGGTTTATCAGTGACGTATCTTGAGATCGGCTCGCGAGTGTGGCGACTGACGATGAACCGGAAGAGACTGTTCCACGCGACGACGACGATGGTCAGGTGTGCGAGTGAACGTTGAACAGCCGGGTTGAACAGTTCGGAGTGACGTGTTGTTTTTGGGGAAGTGATTGAGGAGACGGAGTAGAGGAAAGAGACGAAAGTGGACGAGTGACAGTAAGGTACGAGAAGCAGAAGGTACGAGGGAGATCTGGGGAAGAGAATATTAGAAAGAGAGAGAGAAAGGGAGTAATTGAGAGAGGGAAGTTGGTGCGAACCACGAGGACATTAACATGTACTGACGCCACTACTAACACCTCCTCGAGACCCTTTCAAAATGGCGGACAAGAATAAGATTCTGCCCTGGTCGCTGCTATCCTATCCGACCAGTATCTTCAATACAAGATTCTGGTACAACCAGCTCGCTTTCAATAATAGGTAAACCAACTATTAGAGAAAGAAGAGAAGTCGAGAGAGAAAAGAGAATGAGCGAATATGAAGCTTTTTTAGCCGACACCAGCCCCGAGTAGAGTTTTCAGGCTTGATCAGACGGTCACGCGGCGTCTTTGCGGAATTTTCCAATTATTTTCGCATGCGTTTCTGTTGGATTCTCGTGGAACCAGTCGTGGATTGAATGTGGGTAAAGATAATCGGGAATGGGGATTTTCTGAGCGTGATTTCGTGGGTTAATTGCGAGTGGGTAGATGAATTCTTGCTGAGTGGGTATTGGGTAATTTAGCTCTTTGAAAAGTGGTAAAATTTTGTAGTTAAGCAGTTAAAATTTTGGTTAAGTCTTTAAAATTTGCTGGAAATTTAGTAACGAAAAGGGAGGAATCGTAAGTGTCGTGATTTTTCGATAACGAGGTTTTAATTTGATTTTAATACTATAAATCGTTTCTGGGAATACTTGACGAAAGTGACTCAGGTGTGGAGGTGAAAGTGAAATTCGAAGGAAGGTATTTAGATAATATTTAGGCCTGTGTTTCTTCGATAATTTAGCAAATTGCCTGAATTTCCTAGAACTTGTTTTTACTTAATAAATAATTTCTCCACGTTTCATTTGCTACGTTAATATCTGGAGAGAATAATAAGAAGATTGTTAAATGTAATGACTGCAAAATGAATTCACTATCATTTCATGCACCTAGTAATTTAATAGGAAAAAGGCAAATAGTACGTGAAATAATTTTCTCAAGAATTCGTTTTAAATATATAACTAAAAAATATTAAGTTAATTTGGAATATCTTTACAAATAACTTCTCTATCAATTTTTCTGACTAATAACTACTAAATTAATAATTTACAATCAGGAAATAGGCATATACGTAATACCAATTTTATTATTCCCTAGAAACTAGGAAACTAATTTACCATAATTTCATAAATAAACTTTCTATCAATTCTTCTGATTAATAATTTCTAAATTAATTTTTCGAGATTGTTATCTTATAAATTGTAATTTTCCAGTTAATAAGTAAATGGATTATCAGATATAATTTTCTCTCGAATTTCTTTCGTAAATAACCAAAAATTACCAAAATAATTTGCTACAATTTTATAAATATATTATCTACCTTCTCTTCTGGCCAGTAGGTTATTACTTAACGAATCACAGTTTAGTAAGAAATATCTCGAATAGCTCTCCTATCAGTTGCTTGAAAAAAGAAATAACGGGGTTCAAAAATGGCTCGAGATAGGTGAGAAAGTCGCTGGGAGCCCCTCGATAATTTTATCGGTAATATTTATTGTCTGGTAATCGAACGGAGATCTTGATGGCCCTCGAATTCTTGCACGTGGCTTCTCTGACATGTATCGAAGCTTATCGAAGCGAGCATTGGCACGATTATCGGTATTATTGATTAAAATCGAGAACTCGTACCATTTCGTCGATTGGTTTTTGCAACCTGGCCAAGAAAGGGAAAGCGAACAAAAGGAAATCGAAGTTCGATAAAATACACGAAACTCGAATATCAGATTTCTCGATCAGATATTGAAATCGCCGGTGATTTCAACGCCGCAGCTTCGAAATTAATTACTCGCTTACTCGCAGGTTTTCGCGCGGAAAGCCGCGTTAATTAGTTTCCGCTTTAACGAGGTTTCCTTGAGAATTTTCACCGCTCGACTGCTTTACTTTTGAACGCGAGTAGAAGACGAAACTTCCACGAACTTTCTTCATTAGCTTCGCGAGTTGCAGCGTTCGCGAAAAGTGCACGGAAGTTTACTTATTTGGAAGAAACAAAGGATTTTCCTTTTCTCTGCCTGGGCTTTAAGTTTTTCATTTTCATCGACTTAAGCGTATAGAAACTTCCATGTCGGATTAGGATTCTGATACGAGTTCGAACGTCCGAAGAAAGAGGGGAATAACTCTTGGAGATTAGTTCTTGCTTCGTGAAAATGATTTAGAAAATGTTCGGATTTTTGAAAAATATTTTTCGCTACACGCAATGATGTTTCAGCAATCGCTTTGCAGCACTGTAGAATTTTTTAGCTGATTTTTGTACTCTTTGTTTAATGTATATAAGTTTTTGATTTAGTATCCTAGTCCTTGAAAGTTATTTATAGTATACGTGGTGTTATGTAATTGGAGATAGGATCTTAATTAAGTAGAACAATCTTCGAACACGTTTTCATTGATTTCCCTGTACATGGAATTCTTATCTTTCTTCTTGGTATTAGGAGTTCATTATTAAGAAACTAATTAAGAAACTAAGTTCAATATCAAGTTCCATGTTTAATATTATCTTCTTTCATTTAATATTTTAATTATTTAAATTTCATTAACTCATCATTTCAGAAACACCCTATATATCAACCCCTAATTTTATTATTGGAGGTTCGGTATTAAGAAAGTAAACATGTGTATCATCAAATATATTCTTATCAAAATGTTCCATTTTCTATTATCTAATATATTAATTATTTAAATTTAATTAAACCTGGAATTTTGGAATAAACAGGTATCCTAATCTCCAGTATGGTACTTTGTAACCAATTTCGTCACTAGAAGTTTAATATTAAAAGACTATGCTCAACTCGGGTTAAATATTCTTATTAATCTGAAATTTTTATCAAATATATCATCCATTGAAATTGCCTCATGAATCTATCATTTCGGAACATCTTGTACCTCAGTCTTCAAGGCCATTACCAGAAGTCTACTAATATCTCTAAATTTATTCTTTCCAACTTCCTCTGCCCTTATCTGATATATTAACTAGATAAGTTTTTGACGAAGTTCATGTTTTTGAAGCACCCGGTACATCTATATCCAAACCTAACCTCCAATTCAATCACTGGAAGTCCAATATTAACAGATTAAGCAACAGCATCATGAAATATTACTTTTATCAACCTCCTTTCTCATCAAATATATCATCTAGTTATGTTTCCTCGTAAATGCCTCATGAATGGGTGTTTTGAAACACCCTGTACCTCTATGCCCAAGACTGTTATAGGAAGTTCATCAATATCTCAAAATTTATTCTTCCTAACTTCCTCTTCCCTTATCTGATACATTAATTAGTTGAGTTTGACGAAATTCATAATTTTGAAGCATCTAGTATATCTATATCCAAACCTAACCTCCAATTCCATCACTAGAAGTCCAATATTAAGAGACTAAGTCACACCATCGTGAAATATTAGCCTTATCAATCTGCTTTCTCATCAAATATATCATCTATTTACGTTTCCTCATGAACGAAGAATTGAAATTTCCTCATGAATTGAAATTATCTCATGAATTCATCGTTTTGAAACACCCTATGCCTCGATGCCTAAAACTATCATCAGAAGTTCATCAATATCTCAAAATATAGCCTTATCAACTCCTTCCTCCTTTATCGAGCGAATTAATTACTTAAGTTCGACGAGGCCCATGATTTTGAATCACCCAGTACCCCAATCCCTAACCCCACCACCAGAAGTTCGATATTAAGAAACAGTGTGGTCACCAGACGTCGATTAGGGAAACTTTCCAGCGACTGGTCTCTCACCCAGGAACGTGCCGCGATAATAGGTCGTTTGGCTTAAACTAGAAGGCCAGAAATTCGCTTCTGTGCCCCGGGACAGGTTGTTTGGCAGCAGAGCTGCAGGTAGCCTGTCTTTTGACGGTACAGGCCGCGTCTAATCGGGACTTAAGCGTCCTGCTGGCTTCTTGACGCCCGTCGCGCCGCAGGAAAACTCCGAAAATTGGATTGATTCCGTTGAAAACCGACCTTTGTGCCCGACTTCTCGACTCGCGGCAGCCTTTAGCTCAGACCGACCCCACGATTCTGGGCCTTAGACCCATTCTACTCTCGCCTTGTTCAATGAATCAATCAAGGAATCGATCTTTCATTATTCCACGAATCTCGCGTTTTCTTTCAATTCCTTTTTCCAGACAGTCTCTTAGGATGGCTCCATTTTGCACGTAGAGCTGAGAAATACACATACAAATAGATAGATGCTTGAGTAGTGTCATTGTAGGCTGAGACGGATCTTGTACATTCATTTGTCTAATGGACTTCCTTTGTTGATTTTGCTGTTGCAGAATTTTGGAGAGCATCAAGATGCCCAGGACAAGCTTCCACATCCATGACATCCTGCAGCTCGACTCCAAGCCATCCCAGGAAGAGACGGAGGTTCAAGGTAAGGAACAGAGTGATCTTGGTAATCCTCTGAAGACTGATCAGCTTGCCTTTTGTGCCAGTCAGTCTTCCTTGATCTTCAGGAATTTAATTTCAGTGACAGAGTAAAATAGACAGAGATGTCGTCACTTGTATGAAGTTAGCCTCTTAGGCATTATTGTAATGACGAATCTGGTTCATCGTGAGATTTCATTAAAGTTATATTGGGTGTTCCAAAATTCACGCAAAAAGTAATTTTGGTTAGAAACACACAGGCCTTTAATTAGAAATTGTAAACATTGCTCAACAATGAAGACTCTATTTTCAGCAACACTCTATTTTTAATAACCCTGAACTGACAGCTGCCACGCTTTCTTTTTCTTTCGTTGGTAATACTTTACGGTACAAATTGTGCGAAATTTAAATCTTGCGTGAATTTTGGTACACCCTAAGAGTTATGCACTTCATGGGAGTTGAATTATAGTTAACACCTTTTGACACTATTTAGATTCACTATCATTCGTCATCTATACTTGCTGCTTACCTATTTTTACTCTTATTCGAGTTCTAGTTATACAGGAGGCCACTGTAGGTCCTAGGAACTTTCATGATTTTATCTCTAGGGTACATATAACGAATGTTATATGTATATGAGAGTTTAGTTAGTTAAAATTGAATTCGCTGCGCAATTTTTCCTCCGTAGATGATTCGTAGCGCAAGAAGTTAAAGACTTGGATTTTGGAAATTCTCGTTGCAGGTAGTACCACGGTGCTACCGACCACGAACGATGTTCCGTCGGCGTACCAACAGTTCTTCGAGCACACGACGGCCATGTTGCAGCCCGCGATATACGCGAACCTGAACAGAGGCACCCTACCACCCCCGCCACCCGGGTTGCTGGGATGGCCGACTGGTCCAACGTTACCAACCACGCTGCCTCAGCCTTTGGAGGAAATGAATGGTGAGTGATAAAGAAAGTTATGGATTGTTTGCGTGGAGATTGAAAGGGATAGCTGAAGAGCTGTTACGTTTATGCAATTCTCGGGGATTTATGTGGTTGCCGATGTAAGTCCTTTAATCTTACGGGAACTCGAGTTGCCCTGTACTTGTATGACGTGCTTATAGATAGAAATGGATATAGATAGAAATTACCAATTAAAAATTATGCAAATTTCTAAACAATTTTTATTATTATTATTTGTGTGTAGGTTCATAGCATAGAGCAAAATTTGTAAAATTCGTAATTTACGAAGTTTGTGAAATTTATAAAATTAGCAATTAATAGTTTATGAAAATTATTCACGTGTCGCTTCAAACTTATGTGAATGGAAATTAGATCAGTAATAAAAATTTGAAAATTCTTTTATAATAAATTTTTGGCAGGAAGGAAATTTATTCTCCGACGGAAGAAGATAGATTTATTATTAAAAATGGATTTATTTTTAATAAATCGTAGTAATTACGTATTTCAGTAATATTCTACTGTTATTAAAAATTGGCAATAATATTCGAATACGTAGGAGAGCTAGCGCGTAGTTCAAAGAGAGGGGGCCACGCCGAAACCCTTATTTATTTAACACCCTACAATTGGCCCGCGTCGACTAAGCAGGATCTAATGGTCCTATAAAAGGTCCTTGCGGGTCCTGTGCACCGATTGGCCCATACAGGGGGACAGATGTCCTTTCGAGGACAGATGCGTGTAGCCTTGTGGGCCCTCGATGAATCGGAATTGTCACGCCCAAAAAATCCGTCTCTAGCCTATCGGCTCTTTTCACCTCTTCTCCTTATCTTCCCTTCGTTCCACTCGTTTTGTATCTTCTTTCGTTCTTTCTTTCGTTCTACGAATGTCCATGCTGCACCGAGAAATCGGGGATCCGACGATTTCACCCCTTTAAACGTGAAAAGGGTGCCCTCGATCGCGGTTGCTCCGTTCAGGTAGGGGACTCGTTCGAATTCTCAACGTCCTTACTACAATTTATGGTATCAGAATCGTTTTCACGAATTTTTGACAATCGAAAAAAATTCTTTCTCAAAAAAAAAGAAAAAAAGAAATTTATTTCATAAAAAGTGCGATAAAATGATGGAAAAAAATCGCACGTGAATTTATAATATATTGTTGGAGAGAAGAGACTTTTCTCTACAATTTGGTGGTAAAATTAATCGCGACAAAAATTTTTTAAGATCCGTAGGGTCATTCGAAGTTGTACAATTTTTGGGAAGATGGTACCTTTAGCTTTTATCCCGTATGTCTAAAAACAAAAATTATTTAAATTAATCAATATAGGGATATAAAAGTAGAGACTTCAGGCTTTAAAATTAGCCTAAATAGATTGCTGTACAATTTTTTTTAACGAAGTTACACCTACTCATAGATTGACAATTTTTTAGTCATTTAGTGATCCTTTGACAGTAAACCTACCAGGCCCCAAAATTAAAAAATTTGGCATTCAGCATTGTCGGTTTAGTCACCTATCTTTGCGATTTTCTTTTAATACGGGTATAATCTATTTTTTAAAATATCATAAAGTTTTTCTTATTTTATTTCTTCGTTTACCGGTCATTTGACCAGTCATTTGACCGGTTATGGTACGTTTACTATTAACTTTTTACGATTTATCAGTAAATTTAGATAATACACTTCTAATCCTCGTCCATACCTATTATAAATCATCTTTAGCAAAAGATTTTTCCAAAAAATCATAATTCTGAGATTTCTGATATGAAGAGAAGATTTTGGTTTTGGAACTAGGTGAAATTTAATTAATCGTTGAATCGTTTCTTCCAAAGACGTTAACGTCGGTATAGCAAGAAGTGTCTAATTGAAATCACGACGCGACTGCGACTACAGCCTAATCTCCCATGAAAATGATACAGTCGGTCCCATGGGGTGCAGTAGGGTATCAAACGGGCTCTATATTGCTTCACACCCTCCCCAAGCAGGCTTACGGGTCGTTCACAAAAGCGTATTGTATGCTCACGAAGCCAGGGACCTCGTCGTTGTACATTAAATTAGCGTGTCTCTAGGCCACCGTGGTATTTGCCACTTTAGCCGAAGACTAATCAAAATATTGTTGGATTAAACGGTGGACAGACCGAGTGTACTGAATCCTGTTCCTCCATTTTCAATGTCTAATCCAAATTTCACCGGGTTTTCAGTGTCCTCTAATTCTTTACACTCGTTCTCCTATTTCCCTTTTATACTAATTTCTTACCACAAATACCTGTCTCTAATATCTATGGTTATAAGGAAAAACGTTGTTACATTTTCCTGAATTTTCCTTAATTTACGTAGTTTCTGAAAATAATTTTCATAAATTAGATTTCTTTTTATTAATTTTCGTTTTTAATAAGGTCGTGTATTTTGCAACCTAATTAAAGGATAAATTAAAATGTTTTGAAATTGTGACACACAGTATTTTCCCTTGCAGTTAGAATCATAGATAGAGTAATATTTAATAATTATATAATTTTACAATACTTGTTTGCTATAATATTATAATATTAATTGCTATCGATGTTCAGCTAGTTTTCTTAATTTATTCGAAGAGGTTTAACTACTATATCATCGGAACGATGAGCAAGCACTCGTTAACGAGACTTCAGAAATCAATACAGACTTGCATCTGCCTGCAATCAGCATTAGAAATCGAAGGGTAGTTAAAATGCAGCTGCGGTACACTTTAGTCATTCTCTTGATGATTTGGATACTTTTCGAAGCGATGTTTATCGCTTTTCGAGGGATTAGAACGATATTAACCTAATCGAGTAGAATAGAAGTGGCCAGCTATCATTAACTCGGCAAATATATGACTTTGCAGACGATCATATTAATTATACAATAACTGCTCTAACGAATTAATTATTTTTATTATAACACTATAATACTGTAATTATTACTATTTATACCTATATATAGTATTTAAATATATATATATAGCTAACTATAGTATTAATAAATATACTAAATAGCCTAATAAATACTTCAAAAGTTTAATTACATAAATTCTCATAAATTCTCAGCCTCAGTCAGCAGTTCTCAAGCTACCTTTCTCACATACTGTCCAATTAAACTGTGACAAAGTCATCTATCACACTCTAAGAACTCCCTATTTGTTGTAACATACCCTATTGTACCTAATTTCCTAATTTGATATAACTTAATTCAGCTCATCCCACTTGGGAATACTCATTGCACCACTAATGATACTTAAGTCATAGACACTTAGAACAGTACTATCAAAACCACATCAAGTCCACAGATACTGCACCCATCAACCACTCAAAGATCCCAGGAGACGCCTAATATCCACCGATCCAAAGATCCCTTTCTCAGAGAAATCATCCTGAACCCCAGGAGTAACATGGACGTCCTCAATATTCCAGTTCTGCAGCAGCCAGACTCAACCAGCCCGACGATCTCGGACCTATCCTTCCCAGCGAAGCAGGAGATCAATCACGAGTGCAAAGAGGAAGAATCAGCTGACTTCGAGGACGAACAGCAGACGAACGAGACCCAGCCACACGAGACGGAGCACAAGAAGAGGAAGAGACGAGTGTTGTTCTCCAAGGCACAGACCTTCGAGCTGGAAAGACGCTTCCGGCAGCAGAGATACCTCAGTGCGCCAGAGAGGGAGCACCTGGCCTCGATCATCCGACTGACGCCTACACAGGTGAAGATCTGGTTCCAGAACCACAGGTACAAGACGAAGAGGGCAGCCACTGAGAGAGTAGAAGCCAGCGGAAGTGGATGTTCGCCTAGGAGGGTCGCTGTTCCTCTGTTGATCAAGGACGGAAAACCGTGTCAGTCGAAGTTGATGGAGCCTACCACGTATCCCAACGCTGGCCAGGTACCCATGCCGTACATGCAGAAGCCTTATTGGTGGTAAAGGGATGGGTCTAGTGGACTGTTCAATTTCATCGTTGTCATCATCATTGTGGACTTGTTATCGGTTCTTGTTGATGCTGGGATGTCTGGACCGAGGGTGCACGAGAGGCTGACAGTGGGAGTGGGGACGAGAGTGGGTCTTTTAGGACTACGTGAACGAAACAGTCAGAGATCACAGTGATGGGAGTTTTCTGAGACCTAGGGAAGTTTGTGAATGATTTCGTCGAAGATTGTGCATCCATGTGATGACCTAGTTAGGATGAAAAGGAAGAGGAAGCTGTGGATGAAGTCATCCTCCGAGACAAGGCAAGATAATTTATAGAGGAAGATCGTTGTATTCGAATTTAGTTAGGGTGACGAAGAGTCCTTTTGACAGTATTATAGAAGATTCTTGACAACTCTTCGAGATGGAAGATCGAAGTGACGTCGTTGACAAGCTTGACAGGATGAGCAGACTCCAGAAATGGGGAAGAAGAAAATCTTATTACAACCACAATCAACAAACTTGCCATAATTTCGAACATACACCTATCGAGGAGTCTTGAAACAGCAGATCACGTGAACATCGTCTATGAAAATCGATTGAGGAAGTCGATGAGACACTACGAGGGCTCGAGGAAGAAACAGGAAAGAAATCGACAGGTTAATCGAGAATAATTGTGAAGAAAATCATCCTGGAACTTTGAAGTGAATTTCGGTGCAGGAAGGAGACATCCTTGCTATTCGTAGTAGGATTATGAAGGATCAAACGTATTACTAGAGTAGATATCGTTAACAGTAACGAGTGTTGCCTCCGACAGAGTCGATGCTCGTGCTCTCGTTGTTAGAGTAAACGAAGTGTACTGCCAGTCGAAGATCATGATCAACGATCATCCAGAGACATCACGATGTGAATGTCGTTGAAATTCGACGCGGATTGAATTCGATGAAACTTTTGCTTCGTGAAAGTGTCATTCGAGTGAACTCGTGCACACGCGTTGTGTCCTCTATCGGATTCGATTTTCGCGGAGGATTGGAGAAACCAAAGATACGTGTTCGCGTTTGGTGGACACCATGGTGGTTGCGGAGCGTGGATGAAGTTTGGGTGCAAACTTTTGGGGATTAGGGGAATTTATTGGAAGAGGTTAATAATGGTAATAGTCTTGGAAATGAAGATAAAATTTGGTAAACATGGTGGTAATAGTTTTGCAAAAATATTCGAGATTAATGATAGTGATAAATTCGACCGATTTGATAAAAAAGATAATGACAAATTTGGAAAAATTAACGACGCTAGTGGTGGATAAAAAATTCGATTTAATTCATCGTGATACTAATCTTTAAATTGGGAAATGATGGATATTTGTAAAATTATTAATTTCGGTAGAAACTTTTATGCTTCTTTCAGTGATCGCTATCCCTTGAAGGGCGTATCTACGATTTCTTCCACCCTGTGCATAGGGTGAATCGCATAAAGTACTTTAAGATTACTATAGAGTACTCTAAAATTTCTTTCTTCGAACTACTGTAAATTATAGCACTTCGTGTGCATCACCCTAAACATCGTGGCAAGAAATGAATCGCGAATAAATAGACAAGTAGAGAAAATACGTACACTAATGATCAAAAGTTTGAAATCACCGCGTATTCCGGGAATTTATAGAATCCAATCTTCATAAAATTACCGTATAATAATTACCTCGAAATTTAAAGCAATTAAATCACATTATAATTTAATAATATAAATATTACAATGCAAACAATTATGATATTCCATACTGAAAAATTTATAGAGTTTTTAATATTAATAGTATCAATTTCGAATTAAGAAAAATAGCCAAAGATTTCGCAAAAATATAATAATTTACTATATTGATTTCAAACTTCTGATCTCGAGTGCAGGATCGATCGTTGGATAGATTCACGGTTCCAAGATTATTCGTTTTCTTTCTTCGTTTTGTACAAAGCTGTCGTTAGTCTTGTAGCGTGTATGTGTGTGTGTGTTTCGAAATTGTCCCACATTCGTACTTAAAAATCCTAACAGACATTCAGATCACCTAAGTAAAGAGCGGAAGCATAAATCGAAACTCGGTACCGCCATTTTCCGCCAGTCGTTCCTCAAAATGGCGGACAGCGAGATCGCGAGGACTGCTGGTCGCTTACGTAACACGACATCCCACTTTCTATCAATCTAATCGCGACAGCGAGATAAAGCAAGGTGGAAAACAATTTTTCCTCGAGATCAGTCCCTCGGATTTCGAATCAGAGGATGAAAACTAACCTCTCGAGGAAAATATCGTTATAATTATTCGAAGCAACTTTAGCTTGCTTTCGAATTAGGAATAATTCGAGATTCGACGGTTGGAGAATCTATTCAGCTCGAATCCTCTTTTTGGGTATAAAAAGGAAAAAATCTTAGACTCGTAGCGGAAGTTCGAATATTGTGATTGTCGCGGAAAGTATTAAATAGTAAATGATTATTTAAATGTTCATTGTAAAATAGACAGTGGCCAGTTTTGTAAATTCTGTGTTGGGAGAAGGATCCTATCGGTGTGAATGTATTTCGAGGATTCTCGATTGTTTCGTCTTTTTTTGTTTTTTTTTGTTTTTTTTGGAGGTTGTCCCGTAAAAATGGAGGAAAGCAGGTATTATAGCGTAATTGTATAGAAGGGTCGACAGTCGATACAGAGATCCCAGTTTATCGCCTTTAACTAGGTAGCATGTAATTACATCGAATAGGTTGTATATATGTACATTGTGTATAATACATAGTAGTCTAATATATCAGATACATATTTAATAAAATCGAATCTTAAGCGAATCATTGACCTTTTATTTCCACCCTCTGATTAAACAAGATATGATATCAAAATATTTAATAAATATAATTATCATGACTAATTAATATTCTTTACGTATTATAAAATTTTTATATACCTCATCATATTATATCATAATACAATTAATAATATAACGAATAATAGTATAAAATATTTTTAACCTAGTATAATAATATAATAGTTTAATAATATTAATGACATAAAATAAAAATATAATAATCTATTTTATCCTGTATTCTATAATATTATAAAATATATTATTATATAATATTATGGTTAATATCACTCATTTGGAGACTTGATAAAATAAAATATGTGAAATATTGAAAAATAATAATAATAAGATTTTAATAGTATTACATAACGTTATGAAACATACATTTTTAATATCACAATGACGTACTGTCACGTAAGTGTATCGGATAAAAATAGATAGCTACTACGTAATTGCTACTTAAATTAAACAGATGTGATGATTAAATTATCGGTCAAGTCGTAGGATATTTTCCACGAAACGGTGTGCACGGTATCTGATGATAAATAGGTAATTAATAATTATTCGAGTGGATTCATACGTTCCACGTTGGTAAGAAATACATGTTTATCGATATTTATAATATTTAATGCTGCAAAATTCGTTCCCTCAATGGAACGATAATGCAAGTTATCGATGTCGGTTCAAGTAAGAAAAATAGCAACGTGGAAAACGATTTCTCTTCTTATCGTAGAAAATAGTGATTGCTATTACGCAGTTTTCAGACAACGATTGCCATTTCTAATCATAGAGCTAGATATATCGTTCTTTTAATAACCTTTGAAGACTTTAAAGTGGATAGTGGATTTAATTAAATTCGCCACAAAGATGATAGTGTTCAAGAAAAAGTATAATTAGAATTCTCGAAGATTAAATTAAATAATTATAAATTATTCGATGAAATACTCGAAAATTAAAGCGGTAAAAATTTAGAATTTTTGAAAATTAGATTCTTTGGGAATTAGAATAATACAAAAGACTGGAATATTTTAAAATTGGAATAGCAGAAAATTAGGATACTCAAAAATAAAAATAATTAAAATACTCAAACATGGAAATACTTGAAAATTAGGATACTAAGGAATAAAAATAATTGAAATACTTAAAAATGGAGGTACTCAAAAATTATAAGCGTTATGAGAATTTAAAAATCAGAAAATTAAAATTAGAAATATTTTATAATTTCTTTCTAATTTATAATTCGTCTTCCTTAAAAATTAACTTTTAGATGTGTATACAGAAGAGTAGCATCTACAAGAGAAACGTGATAAAACAATACACTCGAGACAGATTTCTCCCCTGTTCTACCCCCCGTTCCTTTTTATTTCTCTCCTCGATCGTTCCATAGCGCTTCCCTTTTTCGGGACACGCCGGAAGCCGGTGTAGCTTGAGTGACAAGCTTCCGGTTTCCGTTTCCGAGCAGCCATCTTGTTACCGGTTTAGATTTCCTGAGGGCGTCCTGTCGAACTTCGATGGGGAGCACGTTTCGACTTCTGTTGAGAACTTTTCATTTTTCCATCACAATGCCAGTAAGTCTATGCCCCACTCGAATTTATACCACGTAGAAATTGAAATCGGATTCACGAAATCGAAGTCTGTCACCAAATTTATGATCAACTTCGTGTATCATTTCCCCATTTTTATTGGAAAATACAGCTTCATACTGTAGGAAGATAATTCATTTAAATAACAGTCATTAAGATTACTTACGAAATTAAAATAAAATCTTTATTCAAATATTTGATTTCTGAAGCTTTTAATAGCAGTTAATAACATTATCGATATTTAGATTCTTAAAGAAAAAGAAGGAATCAATTTTAATATGAACATAATGTATTAGTTAAATATTGATTAGAATTTTTAAATATAGATACGAACGAGTAATGAGTATCTATTAATTTTCAATATACTTTTAATATATTCCTTTATTATAAATAATTTTACAGTAAAAATATTTTATAATTATTTTTATTTCTTAGATTTCACAATTTTCTCGCTGTAGGTTAGTTCTGATATTTTTTTAAATTCAGATAAATTGCTAAAAATCGTATAATATAATTACTAGTTAATTTAATAGTACGAGTAGTCGATTGTTCAAATGAGAAAACATCATGCTATTATTTTGCTCCACAAATTGTGACGACGTACGGTAGTAATCACGACATTTCGATAAATAATTCAGATAATTCGATCGTTGATCGATTAATGGCTTCGATGAAGTGCAGAAACGCCACGCCACCCGATTGGCTGACGTCTGATTGGCTATTGATAATTTCAATCGCGAGAAAACGGAAACATT